CATCCTTTTTCCAACTCTCCAGGGAAGCATACACCCACCCAATGTTCTCAAGCATGTCTCTTTGTTTAGAGAAAAAGTTTCTCTGAACTCACTTGTAGACCAGGCTGGCCTTGAACTCACAGAGATCCGTCTGCCTCTGCTTCCGCAGTGCTGAGGATCACAGGCGTGCGCCACCCCACCTGGCTAAGTATGTCTTTCTTTATTTTATTTTTTTTAAAGAGATGTATTCATTATGTATACAATGTTTTGCCTGCATATGTGCCAGACGAGGGCACCAGATCTCATTATAGATGGTTGTGAGCCACTCTGTGGTTGCTGGGAATTGAACTCAGGACCTTTAGGAAGGACAGAGAGGGCTCTTAACCTCTGAGCCATCTCTCCAGCCCCTAAGTATGTCTTTCTAATCACCTCTCTTCCTCTTCACCTTCGTGCTCTAGCCTATATTAAAAACATTGTCAGCCAAGGGGTGGTGGGGCACGCCTTTAGTCCCAGCACCTGGGAGGCAGAGATGGAGGCCAGTTTCTACAGTAAGTTCCAGGACAGCCAGGGCTACACAGAGAAACTCTGTCTCAAAAAAAAAAAAACAAACCAACAAACCAGCCAACTAACCAACAAGCAAAACAAAACAAAACAAAATATTGTTAATGAAATCCCCAGTTCTGCTTTGCAAACTGGTTTGTCCTGAAATTCTTTTCAGTGTCAAAGCCACAAACCTCAACATGGCCCAAGCTAAGGTCCCTGAAAGATTAGAAGAATTCCTCAGCTTGCTGAGGGTGATAGTGGGGACAGTGCCTCTCTCTGCTCACCACTGACACCCTCTCATGCGGCACTTTAGTATTTCACATGTGGCATTGTCTTTAAGGCAACCATCTTAGTTTTATCATTAGGTGAGTGGTGGTTTGAATAAGAATGCCCAGAAGCTGACTCTCTCTCTCTTTCAGTCTCTCTGTCTCCCTCTCTCTCCCTGTCTCCCTCTCTCTCCCTGTCTCCCTCTCTCTCCCTGTCTCCCTCTCTCTCTCTGTCTCCCTCTCTCCCTTCCAGGATGTAGCTCTCAGCTACTTCTCCAGCACCATGCTCACCGCCATGACGATGATGGACTAAATCTCTGAAACACTATCTTGCATACATGTATCATGTATAGGGCTGGCACAAGAGTTTCCATATGTGACCTGACTCTGCAACCCAATGAGGAAAAAATAAAATTATTTCTATTTTACAGAAAGGAAAACTGAGGCTTACATGATCGAATGAGTTGCTTTGTGTCCTTCAGCTCCTTAATGGCAGGGCTGGGATTTGCACACACACACCCTCCTGGCTCCTAAAACCAAGCTTGTGTTTGTTATATGTGTTATGTGGCCATAGAAGACGGGATTTGGGGGCTGGGGAGATGACTCAGTGGGAACGGTGCTTGTCTTGCAAGCACTGAGTTCGAGTCCAGAACCCATGTAAAAAGCTGGGCGTGGTGGTATATGTTGAAAATCCAGCTGCTGGGGAGGTAGAGACGAATGGATCCCTGGGGTTTGCTGACCAGTCAGCTTAGCTGGAAGAGTGAACTCCCCTGGCCAGTGAGAGACCTGGTTCAAAACAGGAGCTGGCATCCTGATATCAGAGGCTGGCTTCTATGTGCCCACACATTCATACATGTATACCACGAATACGCACACACAAACACACAAAGGGGAGGATGACAAAATAAATAATAGTAATAATAAAAATAATAATTTCAGGCTGAGATGGGCATCTTTCCATCAGATGGGGGTTCCACATAGTTAAGGAAAGAGAAGGCCCCAGGCTTTCCTTCCACCTTGGCCTTCCCCACTCACTTACGCTCATATAGCCCCACAAAGCCAGTCCTATCAACATCATCTCACCACTGAGAAAACCAGAGGAAATCTGTGATTTTCCTGAGATCACAGAGCCCAGGGACAGCAAGAATAGATTCTCTTGAATGGGGACCTCCCTCCTCCAGGTCCTTCCTGGACTTTCAGCATCTCTAGACACAGGTGACTGAGGTGGCCAGCTCAGAAGCAGGCCTGTCTGGTCAAGGAAAGCCTGTTTGTCAGGAGCAATGGAGGAAAATTCCCAGCATTCTGTAGGGCGGCTCAGGTGTGGCCCAGCTGGAAGCCCTCCAGGGCCCTTGGGACCTCCGACTTGTGTCTTTCCTCTTCCTCCCTCAGCTACCTCCAGCAACACCAGAAGCCAGGGGCCCCTCCCTCCCCAACCACGCCCCTTGGCTGCAGCCAAGAGCTTTGCAAACAGACACCTCCATCCATCTTTGTCTCCTGACCCCACAGGGCCTTGACAGGGAACTGCTGACTTTGAGGAGGTTAAAGGTACAGGGCCAGCCTTCAGCTGACAAATGGGTTGCCTGCTGGAGGGGGCTGTTGTTTTTTCCTGGCCTCAGAAGAGGGGCCTGTCAGGAAGATGTAGAGGTGGCGGCCTTGTGGTGCCCTCAGGGGGGGCTGACAGACGCCAGCAGCTGCTAGGGCACTGGGGTGCCAGGCCCTATGTTCCCAGCACAGAGCACCCTGCTGCGCTCCGCCCCATGCCCTTCCTGACCTCCCCACCAACCCCATCATGACCCAGTGCCCACCCCTTCTCAGGGCAAAGGGCCAAGGGGGCCTCCCTAGGTTGGGGACCCTGAGCCAGATGTGAGAAGGACAGCCCAACTAGGATCTGGTTACAGCCTGCCAGGTCAGGCCCCCAGGGCTTGCTAAGGGGCTGACAGCCCCATCTTCCTTCCAGCCCTCCCCTCCTGCAGGCTCCCTCCACCAGACAGAGCCTCGCAAGGATACTCCCATGGAAATCTTTCTCTCTCTGTGCCCTCCTGCCCATACCGTCTCCATTTAGAATCCTCAAGTTAACACAAAGCAGACACAGGTGCCCATTCATCCACTGCCCACTCTGCCCCTCACAACAGTGTTATTCAAAACTCCAGGTGACCCAGCCTGTTGGCACACAACTCCGATGGACCCCAGTCGAGGACAGCCTGAGCTACCAAGCGAATTCCAGGTTAGCTTGAGCTACCTAATAAAGCCCTTTCTCAAAAACAAAACCTAGGCTGGGGAGAAGGCTCAGTGGGCAAAGTGGGTGCTACACATGTATGAGGACCCAAGTTTGGATGCCCAACACTCATGGAAAAACTGGACCGGTAGGTGGTGGCACATATCTGTCACCCCAGCCTTAGCATGGGGTCAGAGAAAGGTCAATCCTAAGGCATTGCTGACCATCAGCCTCGCCAAATAAATGGTAAGCTCCGTGTTTAGCGAGAGACCTTGTCCCCCTCCCCCCGAAAAAAAAAGTGGAGGGCAGGGTGTGATGGCACATACCTTTAATCCCAGCACTAGGGAGGCAGGCAGAGGGAGCTGAGTTCAAGGCCAGCCTGGTCTACAGAGCAACATTTGCCTAAGACAATCAGGAAACACAGATATTTATATTACAATTCATAACCGTAGCAAAATTACACTTGTGAAGAAGCAATAAAAATAATTTTATGGTTGGGGGTCACCACAACTTAGGAAACCGTACTGAAGGGTCACAGTGTTAGGGAGGTTGAGAACCGCTGGACTCGTAGACAAGCAAGGTGAACTGGCACCTGGGCTGGCCGCCCCTGGCACATATATCACACAAGCCAGGAAGACCCGTGGGAACTCCTTTGGGGATGAACACTCAGGGGGTGGAGGACCCTGGGTTCCAAAGATGCCTCCTGGGACTGAGAAAGGAAGGCAGGTGGGAGCGGCTGGGGTTGGAGAGGGGCAAGAGGTGGGGGTGACCCTAGAAACTTCAAGGACTTTAAGACAAATCGCTTGGAGGCTCTCTAAAGAAGAGTGAGGCTAACTGGCGTTGAGGTCGGGGGTTAAAGGTGGCTAGAAAGAAACAGGTGTTCTTTTTGGTTTGGTTTGGTTTGGTTTGGTTTGGTTTGGTTTGGTTTGGTTTGGTTTGGTTTGGTTTGGTTTGGTTTGGTTTAGTGTGGTGTGGTTATTATTGTTATTGAGAATGGTGTTTTGAACAGAGACTTTTTTTTCTGGAGTATGTATTTCTTTATACCCCAGACTATACCACTGGGCTGCCAAGATGAGAGAGAGCAAGAAGAGAGAGAGAGAGAGAGAGAGAGATTACTTTTAATTAACCTCCCTCTTCGGTTCCCCCAGGGAGAGGTAGAAAATCTTTAAATCAATGCAATTACCAAGCTTGTCTTTTGCTTGACTTTCCCCTTCATTCCCCAGAATTTGGCATTTGGTGGATTTTGGATTTGACTGAAGCCTTTTCTAAATCCAGGACTTGGAGAATTTTGTTAACAATGCAATAAAAATAACTTTATTGTGTTACGGGAGACACTCAAAAACTGCGTGTATGAGTGTAGTGTGTGTGTGTGCTCTCTCTCTCTCTCCCTAAAAAAATAAAACAGACAATGTTTCTTTAAAAGTCTATGTCTGCAAATGCCATTAGATGTGGGTATAAGGTTTCTGATGATAATGTTGCCTGCTCGGGTTTTGGTTGGAGGGGACCTTGTGTGAGCGGGCTGACCCCTCCCTCTCCTCTCTCACATTTCACTTCAGAAATTTGTCACTCTCTCCCCACCGCAGGATTTAAAAGTGTGTCTCGGCAACCCAGTCCAGCCCTCTGCAGGCACTCACTCAGGGTCCCCAGGAAGAGCTTGTCAGTGTGGGTGGGTCCAAGGCAGGACAGTCCAAATGTTTAGTACAGTAGGAAACAAATACTCGCACAACGGACTGCAGTAGTCAGCGTGTGTCGGGGGGCAGGAAGGCAGCCGTGAAGCCTGGACAGGTGTGGGCATGCATCTGTGGGTTACTGGCCACGTGCTTGTGGACTTTGAGGCAAAATTTTTGTTTTGGTTCCTGGGGTAAATTTTCCATTCAAAGTTTTCCTCTACTGTTTATTTTATTTTATATTTTATTTTATTTTAATTGCAAACCTCTGAATAGAAAAAAGGGCAGTGCAACACCTTTGAACGGACCGAGGCAGGCATCAAACAGCAGATGGATCCGGTGGCCAACAGCTGCGTGAGGAATCCCCAGCCCCCAGCCCCACTCTGGGGCTGCCTTCGAAACCCCCACTCGGAAGGTAGCAGCGCCTCGGGGCTGTCCCATTATCCACCAACCCCGTTTTCCTTCCACCAAAAATCAGATTTCCCAGCAACGGCAGCGTACCCCGACTTCTCTGCTTCCTGCCTGGCAGCCACGCCACACAGCCTGCCCCGGGCCGAGCGCGTCTTCGATGAGCAACATCCTGCCTTTCCACAGACCCCTGACTGGCACTTTCCCATCTCCGAAACCGGGCAGAGGCTCAACCCAGGCCCAGCCGGGAGCGCCAGAGAGATGGGGGCCGGCAGCCCAGGCCTGGTAGATGGAACTGGAGGATCCAGAGAAGACTACATGGTACTTGGGAGCATTGCCAGTGAAACGGAGAAGAAATCATCCAGAAGGAAAAAAGAGAGGTCAGGTAGGTGGCGGAGGAACTTGATTATTTCTTTACTGTTTCACCCTGGGCAAGTGGTTTGCCCTCCCTGAGCCCAGGGGCCCTTACTGTAAACTTCAAAAAGTGTTATCTAACTTACTCAAATGCGGGAGAAGGCAAGGCATATACTGTGGGGGTGTTCTAGAATTCTTGGGTGATTGGCAGAGGGGCAGGACTATGGCAGGGATGAGAGGGGTGATGGGGAGAGAAAGAGTGGGGTTTGGGGCACTGTGACAGGGTATCTCTGTGATAGGGTGTACAAGGATGAAGCGCTCAGAGGCTGGAAACGAGATCACAAAGTCTTTCTCTCCTCTCTGAGTTTCTCTTCATCTTCCCATAAGGCCCACCTACCACCTCCTCACCTTTTGTCTGGTCTCCTACCTCGCCTCCTCTCCCACCTTGACCAGAAAATGCACTGCCCCAGCCTCCTGCCCCTCCACCCTGATAGGGAATGCCCACTGAATCTTTCTGACTCCAACCAGAGGAGAGTCGGGGGCGGGGGGGGGGGGGACACTGACTGACAAAGGAGAACTGGCCAGCCTTCTCTTCGTAAGCCCTTTTGACCTAGTGTGCATGTCGGGTGTAGCCACCTTTGGCCTGAGCACTAGATCCTAGGAAAGAGGTCTTGTCTCTGGAGAGCTCAGGCTGAGAGAAAGGGGAGATGGCAGGCTGTGCTCTGAAGGAGAGAAGAGGAAAGGATCAGGGAAGAAGGACGAAGGAGGGAAGTTCCGAGTGCTGGGAGCTACAAACAGCAGGTGTGTTTGTTTGTTTGTTTGTTTGAGTCCCCCGAAAGTTTGCAAAGTAGGGCCTGCAGGTGTTGTTTGCATCTTTCATTCTGCACTGTGAAAAAGGAGAGAGTTTGAGGGAACACTACAAGAACAGGGCATGGCACAGGACCTGTAATTCTAGTTCTCAGGAGACCTCGGCAGGAAGATCTTGAAGTCCAGGTCAACCTGGATTTGTCTATTTTGTGAGGAGGAGGTGGGGGCAGTCTGGGAAATCAGAAAAACCAGATTTGGTCCTCTAAGAAACGAAAGGAGCTCCTGGGTTCCAAACTCTAAAGCCCACACCTTCAGAAGATTCCTGAGCAGTCCTCATATGGTATTTGATGCCCAGGCTCGAAGCTCCCTCTGGATGACCAGAGAGCCCCTGCTGTTAGACAGGAGCCCCACCCCACCCCAGCCCCGTTAGACACCAGCAGGTAGGATTTGACTAACTCAGCTGGAAATCTACTGAGTAGGTCCTTTGGATGGATAGAGCAGGTGCCGGCCCCTCCCCCTAGGGCTTCAGCTCCTTCCCTGGCAGTGGCTGCCACTCTTGCTCTTCCAGCTATGTGGACGTTTTGCAGCATCCATTCTCTTTCCAGGACACTGAGGGCCAAGGGCTTGAGGAAAGTTGCTGGGAGATTGCTGGGCTCAAGCAAACTCTTTCACTGCCCCAAGTCGCAGCAAAACCCAAACGGACCATCTTTCCTTTTGGCAAGAAGCCAGGAGCAGGGCTTTGGAGAGTGAGCACAAGGCTCATCAGAAAGTCAGCCTCTGACCTGGAAAGACTCTCATGAAGAGAGGCGGGTAGGGGTGGAGTGGGTGCCTGTGTGCCCTGGGTCCTCTCACTTGGGATTCCTCCAGATTAGCAGTGGAAACAGACAGCCCAAGTGGGGCCCGGTGAACTGACTTTCCCTCATCCCATGTGGCCGGTCAGCGGGGAGATCTTTATTGCCCACGTGTTTGTGTCTGCCATTGGAATTTAAGTGTGGAGGAAGGAGGAAGCAGGAGGAGGCAGGAGGGTCAGCTTCCTAAGAGCCTCGCCGAGGGGGAAGTCACCGGACAAGGCTCACAACCGGCTGCAGAATCTGGAAATTTCAAAAGAGACAAGCCCACAGAAAAGCCCTCGAGTTACCCCGCCATCTTTAGTCACCCCCAGATCCTCTAATCAATGCTTTTGTTGTTGTTAATCATAGATTACTGTGAGGGGTCCTAGGAACCTGGTACATGCCTGGCAAGGGATCTACCACTGAACTACACCCCAGATTTTTTTTTTTTAATTCTCATTTTGTTTTGTTTATTTAAGACAGAGTAGCCCAGGTTGGCCTCAACCTCACTAGCCAAGGTTAGCCTTGACTTCTTAATGCTTTTGTATCTACTTCCCAATGTACTTGAACATTATTTATCTTGATTTGGGATTTGGGATTTGGGGTGCCTCATCCCCATGAGCCAGCCCAGGAAGGCTGGCTAGCCTTGACCACTGTACTTCATTGTCAGGTAGATGGAGAGGCAAAGTCACTGCAGCTTTGGGGAAGCTGTTACATTCTTGCCATCTCTACTTCCTGAGCTGAAAAAAAAAAATGGAAATGAAAAAAAAAAAAATGTCAGTTACAGCCTAGAGCATCTGGGAAGGTTAAGCAGTGAACTGAAGATTTCACATTGCATCTGCTGCAAAATAAAAGTTTGATAGCAGCTGTGGCTCGTATCAAGTCCATGTTTCTTGAACTAGTCTTTAGAATACTGGTTCTCAACTTGTGGGTCATGACCCTTTGGGGGAGGTGTGGAATGATCCTTTCACACCAGTCCTCTAAGACCATCGGAAAAAAAAAGCTATTTACCTTACAACTCATAGCAATAGCTAAGTTACAGTTATGAAGAAGCAACAAAAATAATTTTATGGCTGGGAGTCACTACGTGAGGAACTGTATTAAAGGGTCGCAGCATTAGGAAGGTTGAGAACCGCTGCTCTAGAACATGGGATGAGGAGTGTGGGGGTAGGAGTAGAGGGTGGGGCTCAGAGGGAGAGTGCCTGAAATCTCCAGGGTTTGAGCCTCAGTGCTTCATAAATAAGATGGCGTCCGGAACGCCTGCAATCCCAACGCTTAGGAGGTAGGGGCAGGAGGATCAGAAAATCTAGATGGTTTTCATCTTGATAGAGTGCCAGGCCAACCTGGGGTACATGAGACCCTGTCCAAACAAACAAACAAACAAAGAGGTTAATATTCCTGTATTGGTGGGAACAGTAGAATTAACTATTCCAGATATAGTGTCTCAGAAATCCCCAGGTCAGTGGCATATGTGGACTTCCTGGACTCTCTTTGTCCTAAAATCTGGTAGTGATCAATTAGTGCTTCAGTCAAAGCTGTGCAGAGGTTCTGGGAGGTAGAGGAAGAGGCTGGTGTTAAAGTGCGTTGAACACTGGCTGGCCCAGGAGGCTCCAGCCATGGACTGCTGATGGAGGGGTGCATCCTTCTCCATCATCAGTATCCCCCAACTCCCTCACCTTGCTCCCCTTGGAAGCCAAAGCTGATCCCCTCTAGTAAATGATCGAGAAAGCCAGGTGCCCGTCCAGCACCCTAAGAGACCTCGAAGTGCAATCTTATTTCACCTACCGGCACCCAACCCCCCAAGCCCTGGCCGGGGGTGTTAAAGACCCCTACTGGCAGAGACAGCTGCGAAGCTACCGCTGTTCTCCCCTAAGCTGTCAGGCTACTGTAACGGGCTTTAATTTATGGGAATGGGGGATTTCTCCGTGACTTCCCGACCGGGTTCAAGGGAAGGTTGCGTGTGACCAGCACGGCTACCGGGAAGCCGCCCTGCTCTCTGGGAGTAGCACTGGGTGCTGGGTGCCCAGTCCTGCCCCAAATTCTCCCCTCCCAGGTTTGACCTTCAATGCCCTGCCCAACCATCCAAACCTTCATTATCCCCATTTTCTCCCCTCTCTCCTCCTTCCTCTCTTTCACTTTCTCCTCTCCTCTCTTCTCTTTTTCCCTCTCTCCTCCTCCACCTCTCCTCCCTTCTTACAGGCCACCCCTCACACTGGCCTTCTCACACAGCTTGTCTTTTCTTTTCTTCTTCCCACACCTCTTTGCCCTTTAATTTCCCTCCCCAGAATCGACATATTTTGAGATTCAGCTCAAAGCCACCATTTCTTGATCATCCTTTGCCCCTGTGTGAAACCTATGGCTGTAACTGTAGAGAGCCACAGTCAGAGGCTGAGAGGGCTGGGCGCACCTGAAATCGCAGTAGATAGAAGGGCGGCAACATTGAGGCCAGCCTGAGCTACCCAGAGAGAGCGGTCTCAAAACAAGCGAGGAAGCTTCAGGCTGTGGTGTGGTTCTGAGCTGATTTTCTGGCTGTAGCTCCATAGAGACTCGACGGAGATGCCTTAACGTGGGTGATCCTTTGAAAATCTTCTCTTCCTGTGGTCCAAAACACATGGCATTAAAATCTGGCTTCTTTACAGTTTTGAAACGACCTTTTACAGCAGCCAACCACAGATCGACTGTTGTAGAACAGATTTCCAGAATTGTTTCAACTTGCGAAATGGAGCTTCTCTTTGGAACGGGTCCCCTAACCCCTGGCAACTACCTGCTTTTCAGTAAGCGTTTGGATGTTAGAAGTATCTCATACGTAGACTCGTGAAGCTGTTGTCTTTTTCATTACTGACTTATTCCGCTTCGTGGTTGGCCCTAGTATCAGGCCCATACTTCCTGAACCCATCAGTCCTCAAGTTACGTTGATATTACAGCCCAGGGAGATGCTTCCCTTTTAAGGCTGAATAATATTCCACTGTGTGTTTGTGCTACTGTTTCCCTTATCCGGTCATGTGTTGATAGACCTTAGGCCGCTTCCGTTGCTAGGCAATTGTGAACAATGCCTCAGGAAGTGGGTGTCCACGTGTCTCTTTGAGCTTGTGTTTTCACAGCTTTTTCTTTTTTTCCTTTTTTAAAATTGTGGGTGTTTACTCACAACCGGGACTATTGGATCAGATGGTTATTCTATATTTAATTAAAAAAAAAATATTTGTGTGTGCGTGTTGCCTGTGCCTGTGTGTAAAGCAGCCAGAAGAGGGCATCGATTCCCTCAGACCTAGAGTTCTAGGCATTTGCAAGGTGCTAGGCTTGTTACGTGCTCGATGGGATCCAGACTTCAGGCCTCATGACTTTGAAGCAAGCAGTCATCATTGTGATAGGTATCCTCCAATGACAAAATTAGCCA